GATCCACTCTTGTTTTTTGTGATAATGTGAGTGCAGTCTACCTCTCTGCAAATCCTGTTAAGCATCAGCGCACGAAGCACATCGAGGTTGACATACACTTCGTTAGAGACCGCGTGGCTCTCGGACAGGTCCGCGTACTACATGTCCCTTCGTCTCTCCAGTATGCTGATATCTTCACGAAGGGTCTTCCATCCATCATTTTTTCAGAATTCCGGGATTGCTTGGGCGTTCGGCGTTCCGCACCAGTGCCGTTGGGAGCATGTTAAATATATTAAGTATATATTTAGTATCTTGTGTATATAGTAGTTTCCATACATGTATAGTCCTTATTAATTAAGGATTCCTAACATAGTAGGTTTCCTATTATAACTAGGACTACTCTACTATATAATATCCCTTGTATTCCTACATTATGATTATTGGAATATATCAATTCTTCAGTTTGGCACTAGTTTTAGGATGTTTCTTTGTGCTGATGCTTATTGGCTTATTGTTGATAAACATTTTTTAACTTATAAACTGCTTAAATTATACTCCCTCCGTCCTAAAACTTTCTTTCCAAAGCACTATTCCAACTTCACAGGAATTTATATTTATTTGTGTTTTTTCATTGCCTATATGATAAAATAAAATATTCTTGTCACCACTTGTTTTGTTGAACTTTTGATGTAGTTTTTAAATATGTATGTTTTATTTTTTATTTCTATACCAATATTTAAATAAAATAGATTGAAAAAACTTGGGATTTTTCTTCGTTTTGCGCAACGGGAAGAAAGTTTTAGGACGGAGGAGTAAGTCATTTTGGAATATTCATAAATGGTGCGGATTGATTTTGAAAATAATCTGGTCAAAAAAGAGTTTTGAAAAAACTGGCTTAAAAATAAGTACTATAAGATTTACTTATGTTTTCTGGCTTATAAGCATCTTATAAGTAGAGGTGGCAATCAAATCAATAAGATTGGTTCCAATTTGGAATAATTCGGTTCGGATAGCTTTCAGATGTATGTTATTGTTGGTTCAGTTCGGTTTAATTTCGGTTCGATTTAATTTTAGTTTCATACATTTTTCAGTTCTGAGTCGATTCTGATTCAGTTCGGAAGTCAATCGGTTCAGATCAATTTTGGTTTTGGAAACATTCCGATTCAGATATATTTCGGTTCGAGCATATATCAGTTTCAAATATATTTGCGTATATGCTATTTTTGAATTAAAATTTAATTATTTGTTCATTTTTTGTCATATTATTTTCATCAATCTATCATCGATTCATCACCTCATGTTATTTGATACTTCCTTCGTCTTACATATCTTCTACTTTTATCTTCTTAGTCATCTTTTATAAATTTGGATTACGATTTGTGAAAGGAAAATATATTTAGTTTTGATATAAAATAAATATAATTAGATTACCAAGTTACATACAATTTGGTTAAAATATGTTGGAATGTAAATAAATAAAATTTAAGTGAAATTAAATGAAATTCAAAGCTCATTGCGTGTTTGGCCAACCATACAATATTGCATGAGAGAGGGTGAAAAAATATTTTTAACCGTACTTTAGTTTGTTTAAATTTTAACTAACATTTTTTTAAGTAAGTTGCAATGTTTATTTTTATATCAATTTATAAATTATATTATGTTAATAATACTTATACGGAGTAAAATTATACTTATACGGAACCAGTTATATACTTATACGAAGTAAAATTTTACATTTTGTTTTGATATGTTAATTCATTTCGGATATATGAAGTAAGTAATACTCCGTATAAGTATATATAACTAGTTCAAATGGTAAAATAATAAAAAAATTGAAATCAAATGTAACTTTTCATTAATCTGCATAAATATAATATATATTTTTCAGGAAAAATCAATTTCGAATATAATTGATTTCAGACCTTATCGGTTTTGGATTTTATCAGTTTTGGGTCTTATCGATTTCGTATCTAATCAGTTTCGGCTTTAAATCGGGTATAGTTACATTTAATTCGGTTTTGGTTCGATTTAGATCATTTCGGTTATAAATGAGATCTTCATTTTTTAAATCATTTCGGTTATGATTTTGGATCATTTAGTTTGGGTAATCGATTTTGGGTTTGTGTTGGCACGTCTACTTATATGTCAGCTTATAAGCATAAAAAATGTCATTAGCCGATTTATAAGTTAAAAACATTTAATAAACAGTTTTGACCAATTTATAAGTAGAGAAAAACATTCACTTAGTTCTCTCTTTCTCTCTCTCTTGGGAAGAGGTATCTAACAAACTAAAAATCTAACACTTTCATTTAGGTTTAACATTTTTTAATTTAATTTGTACAAACGACGTTTCCAAACGAACATGGATCTTTCTACTTTTTAGTGTTGTTTCCATATGCTTGCTTTCCCATGAATACATTCCGGTGAGTTTCGCATGTAAAACATCCAGGTGAACTTTGCAGTTCATTGCAATGAGTTTAGCATCATCTCATCAAAGCTTGCCATTATATTTTTTTATTGTTTGAATTTTTTAGTTTTTGAGTTTGAGATGCATGATTGGAGATGATCTTACATCTTACTTTCTTTAACGGCAATTATCACAAATAATTTTATCTAACTACAACAAAAAGATATCAATCAAATTAGATAATGGTGTGTTTAGGAACATGGATTAAGATTTTAAATTTGAATTTGACTCAAATTACATGTTTGGGAAATTTAAAAATTTTGAATTTGGATTTGAGTAAAATTCTTCTCATTCATAACAAAGCTTAATTTGAAATCCATGCGGCCATGCCCCTTGTCATTTGAAAAATTTTAGAATTGAAATGAAATACTAATTGTCAAACACTACTTTAAAAAACTTATTTTATTAAGATCTTCAAAGGTAGGACGAGTTAACTCTATGACTCAGATATCCCCCAGCTTAAACAGAGTGCAGATGATGGACGGGCTTTGGGTTTTTTTTCTCTTCTGGGCATTTCCTGAAGCTCGACTGAAACTCATGCAAATCCCAACCGCCATTTCCTCCATTCTCCCATAGAAAAGAAAGGTTCCTCTCTTTAATTCTTCTCCGAATTGCTACTTCCCCTCTTTCTTGGTGTATTTATCGGTCCGGTCTTGCCCTCACCATATAAATTTTTATCTTTGTCGATGATTGCGATTTGCGAATGGATTGGGTTGTTAATTATAGTTCATGAGCGCCTTAGTTATGTTCGACGTAATGCTTTGAGCTTTTCTCGTTGAATGTGTTGGAGTGTGAAGGGGGGGTTCGAGAGATTGATTAATTGATTTTGCATAGATTTGATTTAGAGAGGGGTGTGAGTGTGGAGATAATTATGGGATCTCAGGGCGGTGGTGGGAGCGGTGAAACCCATACCCATAATCAAGGCCCGAAATCAAATGGATTGGATAGGCAAGGATCACTCTACACCCTCACTCTCGATGAGGTTCAGAATCAATTAGGGCATTTGGGAAAACCCCTGACCAGCATGAATCTCGATGAGCTGCTCAAGAGTGTGTGTACTGCTGAGGCAGCTGATCAAGGAATAAATTTTGGAGTTGCACAGCATGCTTCCTATCAAGATCATAACTTTTCTGGTGATCTTAGCAAGAAGACTGTTGATGAGGTGTGGCAGGGTATCCAGGAGGGGCAGGAGAGAAGTGATCTTGATAGGAAAGCCACTCTGGGTGAGATGACACTTGAGGATTTCTTGATTAAGGCCGGAATAGTATCGCCCGGAATGAAAAACTCAGGACCGGTCCTAGCGGCTGATTCAATGGCATTGCTACAGCTCAATACTCAATGGCCAAACTATCAGACCCCAACAACTATTCAGCAGTCACAGCAGCCCAATATGCTGCCCGTTTTTATGACAGGTCAGCAGCCGCTGCCTGTGGTTCCTAACCCCATGATGGATTCGAGTTATTCTGAGACACCGATGACCATGTCTCCATCTCTTATGGGAACGCTGTCCGACACACCAGCTTCTAGAAGAAAGAGAACTGCGCCGGAAATTGTGGTTGAAAAAAGTGTTGAAAGGAGGCAGAAAAGGATGATAAAGAACAGGGAATCTGCCGCCCGATCACGTGCAAGGAAGCAGGCAAGTCCCCAACCCGCCATTTTTTTATGGAAACTAGAAAAGACATATCGTATTCAAAACTTCCGTGTTTCTGCCTTAAAATGTTCCCGGTTATGTGACAGGCTTACACACAGGAGCTTGAGAGCAAGGTTTCTCGTTTAGAAGAAGAGAATGAGAGGCTTAAAAAACAGAAGGTATGCTTCACCACAACTTCATTCATGAGCACATGTATTAGTGCATCTGATGCATGTCCGAGTTTATTGTATTGTGCCATATACAATGGATTTAAATGTCTTCCCATGCATAATGCGTTAATCCATCTTCTCCGATGGAGTCAAATATTCATTATTATTTGGCTTTGGAATAAGATGGAATAAAGAAAAATGGTTTTTAAACTATCTGTGCTTCTTTTGATAGTTGAGTAACAATTAGTCAATGCAACTTTTGACGCTGATCATTGGTCACCTGGAAACAGCCGCTCTATCTTTCAACATAGGGGTCAGGTCGCGTACATCTGAGCCCCCTTACCCCGCAATGGGCGGTAGCCTTTGAAGCACTGGGGTAATGTTGTTGTTGCCCATGCATAATGCATTACTGCATTGCTGTCTATCAGCCAGGATGTATCCAGATGCATATACATAATACATGGCTTATCATTGATCCATTTAACTTGTCAGAAGTTAAGCATGTAAATTATCACCAATTTAAAAAATGGTTTTTATGAGTTAGAGTTTAAGCAATTAGTTTAAACCACTTCTCTTATTTCAAATCCATCTGGTCTTAAGACAGAATGTAATGAACCAAGGTAGAAGTATAGTTGGCTGTTCATATTTGAGGTTCGCCATAGGGAAGTTAAAGTTGGTGAAACTTACACTGGACCATACCTTTCGTTTTACCTCTTTAGAGTGGCATATGGGTCACAAGATAGTTGAGTATTCCGCATGGTTGTTTACTAGGTTTTAGTCTAACATATACAGTTTGAGGTAAACCTTAAACGTTGAAGATACTTTTGGGTGAGTTAGACCCAATTTAACAAAGGGGAAGTGCGGAAAATATGAAGACAAAAATTGGCAGTTTAAGACAAATATGAAATGTACGACAAAGTAAAATCCAACATAGTGGGATCTGGGGCCTTTCCTCTGCATGAGAAGGAGAGAGGCTATTTCCAAGGGACTCTTGGCTCAAAAAAGGAGTGCTGAAATACACAGATAGGAAAACGGAATGACTATCTTGGTTATAACTAGTTATAGCTATCTTGGTCTTTTTTGGCTTGGTTGTTGGTTGTTAGTTGCCGGACGAGTTATTTTTGCATGGCCTTTACGTCTATGATCAATACATTGCTATTAGGGAAGTAATATTCCCATTGCAATTTTTGGGGAGAAAAGTTCACGTTGTATTCAAGCTTTCGAGGTGTTTGTTTGTTTGCTTGGTCTTCGATTCCGTTTGCAATTATCCCACTTCTTAAGATATATTCAAAGGTTGTGTGCTCTAATTTTGTTCCTTTTTACTTGCAACTTCTGAAAAATTAGATATGCTATTTCTAAAAGATCAAGCTAGGATAGACAATTCATAAATTGCCTTTATTGACATGGTGCAATTGTCATTGGGTTTGGAATCTCAGTTTAGACTTATGTGGGCCAAGCTTTTCAATGGGGGAATCATTTCTTCTGTAACACATTGTCTGCCTACACATGGTTTACTCAAAAACTGGGCGTTTGAGCCAGGACTGAATTATATGCTTACTCTTTCTCTAAATTATCTTTTTCACTTTCCTTTTTCACTCTTCTCTAAATTATTATCCATTTTGTTTTAAGGATAGAATTGTGGTTCATTTCGCTCTCGTCTAAATATATCCAGCCAAATAGGGTTCATTTCCTTAAATCTTGTGCACCGAAAAAGTGGGCAGTAATGTAATGGATGGAGTCATGGAGTAGAGTATTAGTGCATTACACTTTCGAGTTTACCACAACTATGCTCTAGATACGCACATCTGGCATATAAGCTGGATGCAAAGGGGCATCAGTTAGATAAGAACTCTTGTTACTTGGTTAGATAATTGGAAAAGAGTTGTAGTAGAATAATTATTCAAGAGTTACGTTGTTCAAGAATTAGCTATTAGTTACTCCCTCTGTCCTGTTTTTGACACGTTTTTTTTCTTAAAAGAAGAAACGTACTCCGTATTTTCATTATATCCATATTTTTTAAATAAATATCTCAAACAAGTTAAATATGTTAAATCAATTGTTTTATGTATATATTATGATTTTTAATAGTGGAACCTTACTAAAATTTTAAAGTTGCACCGTACTGAACAAGAACACCTTTTATGGGATGGAGGGAATATTGTATTCTAGGGCTGAGTGGATATAGTTTATTCATATGTTGTATACTCTCATTACATAATGCGGTCGATCATCATTCACATTGAATGCAAGACTCATCTTCCATGGGCTCAAGGACGAGTGTGCCATATCCCACCTATGCGTGTAACGGTTCTTACCAAGCTACATTTTTTTTAAAAACAACATAGAAATGCTTACATTGGTTTGCATGTATGGCCCCACCAAGGTGTTATCCTTGAGTGTTTAAGTTTTTTTCATCGTAGGCCCCACTTAATTCCACATAGATCCCACCTAACATTAATTAATCCCCAACTGGGCTTTGAGACAGTCTGCCACCTAACAGGCGCTTAGCGCGTGTTTCACAAAATTCTCTCCAAGTCCATTTGATCTTCAATTGCTTCACTTGACTTTACGCAGTTACTTCCACTAATGTCCTGATTAATTTGGGGCTATTTTGCAGGAGGAGGAGAATCTGCTGCCTTACGTCCCACCTCCAGAGCCAAAGTATCAGCTGCGCAGAACAAGCTCGAATCCTTTTTGACAACAAAACCTGTGAATGACAACCGTATAGCTGCTGCTGCATATAATTTCTTGTCACTCCAACTCTCATAAAGTAGTGTGAGCTCTTCCTCTTCCTCCTCCTCCTCACACCCCAACCCGTGTTTGAGATGCATGCCTTGAGAATGTCTTCCGGAGCTTTTGTTGGTTTTAACATTACGCTTTGGCTTCCTCTCCGATGCACTCTTATGAGTTCTTTTCTTTGTATGTAAATTTCATAGCTTTAAAACTCGAAGCATGTTAGAACATAGTTTTTGTAGTTCTTCTGCTCCCCGCAAATGCTCTGCGGGATCAGATTTCTCGTGTAATTCGTAGAGTTCTTTTACCTTAGTACTAGAATCTTGCTATATATATGAAAAATTTTGGAAACCATTGTAACAAGATTACTTTTTTTTTATATTTAAAAAAAACTATGGAGTAATATATTTTTTACCGCAAGAAGTGCTTATGGTTGGGGTTTGAGTATATATCTTTGCTCTGGCTGCCTGCTATCATATCAAACACCAAGTCCTAACATACTGTATGCAAAATTGTTGATCCATTTGGACCCTAAACTAGGACATAATGAAAGGAGGTTTAATAAGGCTATTAAAAATATTTCGACTTAAACGTCTGTTTGTGCCTTACGATATTCACTTGAAAAGTGATTGGCTTTTTGCATGCACGGTTTATGGCATCTGGAAATTGAGCAATGCTATTTAATTTGATCTCAATGTGATTCATATAGTAGTGGACATGGTACTGGTCTGGTATGGTTCCGCTTCTGGAATCGCCGGTTTTCGGTACTAAAGGGAGGAGAACTGTAACCGACACCGGTGGCCGGCGGCATGGTCCGAGACCAGTCGCCGGTTTTTTTATAAATTTAATGTTTTGATGTTGTATTTTAGTTTTTAATATAATTAAAAATGTACTAACATTTCTAAAAATCAAAAAACGTAAAAGAGTAAAATGAAGTAACCAAGTAAAATAAAATATCAATCTTAAATATATTAAATATCTAAGTTAATACTTAATATTTTTGAATTCATAATGTCAAATTGAAATTAAACTTAGAATCTTATTTAAATAATAACTTTAAAGAAATGGACGAAATAGTATCCTGAACTTCACCGCCTACCTCCGTTGTTGTAGCTTCCATAAAGTGTTCTTCATCAATAGTGTAACCCGCTTCGTGACATTGACATCAGGCTAACAACTAACCTCGATTGCAAACAAGTGTCTCGAGTTATTCGGCACTTAGTTGCGTATGGTAGTCCTTCAATATAATGTGATGCCGCTCGAACTGAACTCCAGCTCCTCTGCAACTGTTGAAACAAATATCGATAGGATTTGTTTCGCAAACGTAGCCATGATCGGGAATATGTCCTGCTGAGATTTCCACCATTCAAGCACGTCAAACTCTACATCGTCATCAATCATCATACTCGCAAGGAATTGAGGTGGTAGGATTTGATTCTTTTGGAAAGTAATTAACTACCCATAGCAGACTTGAAAGTAGCTTTTCCCTTTGCTGAAGAGGCAACCTTGGTCTCATTAGTATATGAACGGTTATCATAAGTAGTTTGAAATTCCACTTGTATTTGAAATTGTTTTAATAACATCAATTTTCATTCCATCATAACAACCAAATTCATCCAAAAAACAACTATAGAAATATGACATAAGAGCTTTGTAATCTTCACTTTTAAAACATGGGTCACACAGAATTCTAATTTGATAAATATCAAGATCGGAATATAAGATAATAATCACACCACTTTTCTTTCATAAAAGCAACAATATCACACAAATAAAAATCATCTTGTGTTTCCTTAAAACATGTAGCAAATAATAATTCACTCATACAAAACATGTTACTAGTACAAAAATGATAAAGTAACATTATCAAACCGATACGAATATCATATCGGATAGGGAAGAACTTCGAGTGTTCTTCAAGCTCCTAGAAGAAAAGAAGATAGAGATGGAAAACTTCGAGAGTTTTCGGGCTCCAGAGAAGAGAGAACGAGATTAAGAGAATTCTTGATTATTTTATTGATAATGATACGAGATTACAATATATAACGATGAGACATCCACCTACATGACCTAATGGGCTCGGGCCCATACAACAACCCTAATCTATAGAATATTAAAAAATAATAATAAATAACTACTAAATAATAATATAACTAATTAAAATATTTTAATTAACTATCCGTATCATTCCCACCCCCTTAAAATCCACCTTGTCCTCAAGGTGGAGGCTCCCACTCATGCTTTAGGACAGAAGAAAGAATGTTGAACCATATATCAACATCCAATCGACATATATAATTTGTCATTGAAAACATATAGATATAGTCGACTCAATGATGATGCCATGTATTGTCCAGAGCGACAAAATACGTTGACTCATCAACTAGTGTCAACTAGACTTTATCACAAATAACATTTCGTCTTTAATTATGTTGACCCTTTGTGCATAACTTATGATTATGTCGACATGTAACGATCTCCGCCGGCTATGTTTAATTATACAATCCTTACTGTAACAATTAGATGAATGTTTACTTACGTGGACAACGCCTTTCACCGACGAGCGACAACAGACGAAAGACGACAAACGATGAGAGGTGTAGTTGCACAGAGTATTTGACGGCGAACAACGGTGAACAGCGGCGAGCGATGAGAGGTGACAAAGTAAATTCGACGGGCACTAGGTATGCAATCGATTGGAATAGATAAAGATGAAAAATGGTGCGGCCCCGAAATGAGAATAACAAATATCTTTGCTAAGCTAGAAACGCTTTGCTGCCGCAACGGTCTGATAACGATAATCTAGCGATAACAGCTTGGGGGAGAAGGATAAGAGAGTAGTTTCACTTTGATAGAAAGGGTAGCTAGGCTAACAAATACGAAGCGTTTTATGGTAGAATGATAAAATTCTTCTCTTGAGGTATGTTAGGTTAGATTAGGGCTCAAGAAATATCAAAATGGGTAGAGCGTAGAATATATTTAAGTTACGTTGTTTGGTCAGATTTAAGAAAAGTAAAGCCAATTATGTCTATTTAGCCCAAATTAAAATATTTTATGGACAAGTAAAATGTAAAATTTGAACAATTTTATAAAGAGAAGAAAGCTAAAGTAGGAGTAAAACATTGAAAATATATCAAAATAGGACTTTCATATTTTTATTTTTGAAACAAGAGTTAAAATGCATTGACAGTAACACATTACCAACCATATTATCACATTGCAAAATCCTATTTGAGAAATAAAAACGTGGAACTCCTATTTTAATTTGGTACTTTTTTCTATGTTTTAATACGGTCCTATTTAGAGTGATTCCTACTTTTATAAAACAAAGGTAATACAATATACTCCCTCCGTCTCACAAAAACTTAGCTTTCTCCTTTTATTTGCATCCATCCCAAAAAAACATTTCTTTTTATTATAAAAAATTTATTTTTAGGCCTACCAATTCTTAACCTACCTATCACATCACATTTTTTCATTATTAATCTATCTATCACATCTTACTTTTATCTATCACATCCAAGGGTATTTTTAAAATCTCATTGCCAAAATACACTTTTCTTAATAAATCTTTTAAAAGTTAAAACCAGACAAGTTTTATACTCTGTGTAATTATACAAAAAAGATTAAAAGGGCAAATCATATTATACATCCGGTTGTACCCAATTTTTGGTACAATCACGAAATTATTTGTGATATGAATTTTATTTTACATGAGAATGAACACTAAGTTATTTAAGAATGAGTACTGTTTTGTTTCAGAATGAATACTACATTGTTTGTATAGTAGATGAATGCTATAATTATATTGAACCAATGTGTGAAAATGAGTATAGTATTATTTTAGAATTAGTACCACACTAATTATATTTATGCGAAAATGAGTACTAATCTACTTCAGAATGAGTACTACCCGGATGTACCATAGATTCGAATCTACCATATAGCTTCTCGATAAAAAGGGATTGGATGTTAAAAATTAGGATAATGCTATTTGTACCCGAAGAATTTGTACCCCACTTTGTATACCGCAGGGATGCACCAACATTTTGTATTGGTGTAATACTAATTTTTGAAAACGCACCAACATTTTGTGTAATTTTTTGTTAATGTACCAAAATTTTGTATTAGTATAAACCATCAAAATATTAGTATATATCTTTAGTGTACAAATAGAATACAAATGTTGGAGTACATGTAGATTGCTCCTAAAAATTAACTCAACAAATAGGAATGGATTATGCCATGTGTATACCAAGTTTTGTACCCCAATTTGTACCCCGCAATTTTGCACCAACACTTTGTGTTGGTGTAAAACTAATTTTTGTTAAACGCACCAACATTTGTGTCCGTGTGAATTTTTATTAACGCACCAACACTTGTGTCGGTGTAAACCATCGAAATGTTTGTGCAAACCTGTGATGTATAAATGGGGTATATTTTTTGGTGTAAGTGTAGCATGGTCCAATAGGAATACAGTACTCCGTACTCCGTATGTCACTTTTCACTAGTGGCGAACGAAGGAGAGCGAGTAGTAAATGATATTCTCGTCTCATAGGAGTAGCAAGGACCCAAACTAGCTGCAATAATTATAGCTAGCCAATAGCCATAGTGATAAGTGGTACCCGGCCTAGCCGCCTAGGACTAATGTACGTAATAACTACCCTAAAAAATCTTAAAAAACCATTATTTACTTTCTTTAACTACCCAGGGCCGTCTCCGAGAAATCAGGGACCAATGTCATTCTCTTCGTCTTGAGACGAGGATCAATAATATCCAAACCATTTTGTCTAATTTGGCCTGTAACTTCTCGAATCTGAATTTTTCTACTCGAAAAACCCTAAAATTCGAAATTGGGTCCAAAATTGGTTTTTTGCAAATCTTCATCAAATCTTGCAATTGAGGAGTCCTTGGAGGTCGCCCGGATGCCACGACCGCATTGGAGTTGGTGCCCGCCGTCAA